GATTATTGCTATTGATAGTAAAAGTATTTTCATTGACTTTTACCCAACGATAAGACATCAGTTAGTATGATTAGCATGATTAATTAAGTGTGCATAGATATAATTCTTACATAATCAATAACTTTAATTTAGTAACAATTTTCTCCGAACGAATATCTTCAAGTCTTTCTTTGAAAGGGTAAAACAATCATTTCTAAAGTAAATCGTGCTATAACCTCATTGAATTATTGACAACATAACCTACGGGCATACATATTATCAAATTTTTAAACTATAGAGGGCAAAAAATTATCGTTTTAGAACATTAAATTCTAATTAATTATCTTCATTCATTATATCTAGATAATAATATAAACAATACCTTTGGGCAAAACAAAAATGCGAAACTACATCACCCTTTCCGGCCTAATAATGCTAGATATACTAATAATCAATGTAAAATTACAGTCTATTTGATGAAACATTTGCACTATCTCTAGCACAATACTATGACATCACAATTTATAAACATCAGGAAATGACTAATATATGCTATATGGGTCAAAATTTGAAAAAGCCTAAAAATAAATAGAATGAAATGGTCGATTGAAATTTCGATTACTTCTAAAAAAATTTTTGATAAGACTATGATGAACAGGAAAGATCAAATCATTGATAGAAATTTGACAAAGCCTTTCCATTATGGCTATTCATATAAGGCAATACGAGTGTATGATATTTTCATCACTAAATTCATGAATAATAGTCACTCTTCGATTTACTACACAACTTAATTAAATAATTCATCGATGTCACCTTACGACCTGGTACGTATTTAAATAAGTTTTCAATAGTCCGGCTATAACACTATTATCTATTGAACGGACAAGTACGTCGATCAATTTATCATCTTAGAGTACAAATTCACTTTCCAAATCATTTTAATTATTAAAATGACTATTTACAAGCTTCGAAACCCCGTTGAAATTAATAAGCCGTTGCAGTTTTAAACTTCGAGATCTTAGCACTGCCTATAAATGACTATAATGATTCTGAGTAGAGATATGACAATAATTAAATAATGCGTTACTAGAAGTTAAAGCAAACATGAAAAATTATTTAATTATTTACCCTAGTTACGTTTTATATGTGTGGAATGAAACTAATTTTACTGTTGAAGTAATAACAACAACGAATTTTCCATCTTACGATATAAACAATCTATTAAACGTGATCATTTCCGATTAACTTAGCCGTAGAATCAATCGGATATGAATCCTATAATTCATCTTGAAAACATAACTGTTTCCGGATTGAAATATTATTATTATTGAATGATTTTATACTAGATCGGTGAATATGTTTAGTCTAAAGGATCAACAAGGTTAAAAAACTTTTTTATCATGATCCACTAAAACACTAACAAATATCTCTTTACCTTCCTCTTATCGCTAATACAGTGTTAATTTATGTATCATACGAGATACAAATTATAAATTTAGTAGTCGTTAAATTTCTGTTAGTTAAACTGACTGCATTGCCTAATAACCCTTATGACTTTGTGAAATCTGTGCTATAAATCATTATTTCATAATAGCATATTCCTTAATCGAAATTTAGTTTTAGTACTAATGAATATTTTAAGGATAACTTAGCAACCACCAGATCATGTTTCAATCAGAATGAATTTATAACTATTTTGGACTATTTGTTGTTTCTAACCACGTCGAGACAGTAGAATAAATCATATCGTCTTCACAGGCGATTAAGAATAGAACCGATTATTTAGCCGAGATTGTTCTCAAAACGATTATTTTATACTGGACTTCCGTTTTACTCTGTCCAATTTGTAATTATTATTAATTCAAAATCGGTAAGTGAAGGTATAATCTACCCTTGTCGCTGAATTGATATCCATATTATTTACAAGGGATCTATTTCAATATAAAATTTCTATTTTATGCCTCATCATCCCCATACTTAATAAAATAAAAGTATCCTCGAGTAGCCCTTGAATGGTGCCCATTTTATTCAAAAAGGACTCCTAGATCATAGCCAGTCATATCAGCATAGCAATATGGACAAGCTATAGATGATCCACTTAAATAATTTGGTTTTATTATTATTGTTTAGTTGAATAACATCAATTGCAGCTTTGAATGTTTAGAATAGAATTTCATGTCGTCGTGGTTATAATAGAAATGGATTGAATCTATTTTATTTCTTATTAGCATCCACCTCCTGTGTCTTGTATCTCCTCCCATCATCATGATGGTAGTCCCGTTATGAATAACTTATTGGTAACCTTTATCATCGTCATCATTCAGATCTACTCTATTTGTATCAGGTGTAGAGCTTTATTCGTTATCAATAGATTGAATTGATTGGCCTACAGTAAACAAATCAAATAGTTACTATTGATGACAACATGATGAACAAAATAACTTGACAATAAATTAATTCTAAGCTATTCTAATAGGAAAAACATCAAACAATTCTACGTCCCTTATTACTCTATATCCAATTGACCAGGTGGAAAGAAGAAAAAATTCATCCTGCTAACTCATTCTTTCACCGCTTTAAGTAGACAACAGCGTCTCTAAAAATATTAACATTTTAAAATTGCCTACTACAAAACAACGATATAATACTGCCTGCTGTTTTTTTTCCTTCTATATTTGATGTTAACTTGCTCTAATATGCAACTCCCTTAGACAATTCCAATTTATCCCTAAGGTAATCAACTCTGATAATTGCAATCGTAATCCTATCCAATCGACAGTAATTTCTGTCTGATTTTTCCGGCTTCATCGTTAAATCTTGGTAAGGACAGAAATATTATAATATAAGGAAGATAGAAGTAAAAATTGTTTTTCTAATCGTATTCAACATCATAACTTGATTGATAAAATCCAACTTGAACATCTCACTTTGTTAGTAGAAAGGAATACTTTTTCTTGTAGCAAGGTCTAACCTTCTTGACGCTAGTCTTAGATATATACTGTCCAAGGTTTGCAGATACTCATTCAAAATTATAGAAGATTCTTTCGGTAGTAGGACACTTTAATTCTTCTATCGTGCCCACAAACAACCATTAAACTTTTACGATATACTTAAATCATATGCTATATTTACTGCAGATATCAAATTTGACGTAACTGTCCATTTTGTTATTCCATTTTGATGAGTTGATAGGTTTCTAACCGCAAGCTTTGATATTAGTGTGGTATCTTGACTGTTGTACTAGCTAATCTGTCGCAAAGCCCTACTTTACAGTACATATTATATAGCAAATACTAAACTACCGGGGTTTTTTCTACGCCAACACCCACATTAGCATCCTTTATGTTCAAGTAAAATTGACTAGTTTTACCTCGTTTTTTGAAGGTTAACGATCTATTTTTTAATAACGTCTCAATTTTATTTCAAGAATCGATAGATAATTGATATATGGACGAATTAAAAGCCATACTAATATGTATTCGCAAATTTTGAATTACTTCACATGCAGTTAAATTGCCGATGCTACCATTACTATTTAATACGCCTGCTATAGCAGTTTAGGCAGCAACCTAGGCTTTTTAAATTATTACTCTCCTATTAAAATTCCAGTGATTAATTATATGAATTTTAAGTTTTTACCATAGCTCTTTCTCGTTACTCACATCCAGCGCTTTTTTCCATCATTGAAGCCTAACAGCTAATGATAGTGGATACGATTCCAAAGTAAACTTATCATTTCTTTTATAATTTACAATATTAATACAGGCTGATTGGCTCTAGTCTGGACCACTAGTCATCTCATAAAATAAAGAATATAGTTTTCGTCTACTTTAGCACATTTTATCTAACATAAGGTGGCTAATACAACAACGTCACTCATGTATTAAACATCTGTAAACTTTTCATTAACCCTTTCGCTCACTCTGAAAATCAAAGAGGTTGATTTTTACCAACAACTGTAAATAGAGTCTGTTTATCATTTTATTCACTTTCTTCTGATTACACGCCTGCTTTTATTAAATTTTTGTTCTCCTTGCCTATTACTTTGTCCTAGGAATTGATTATCTCGTGATTTGTGGCCGATATTAATTCTAACATTAATAGCACAGCTTTGCGCCATTGGTAATTAGCCTTGAATTGTTATTTAAGCCGTTAGGTTGACACAAGAAAGTATAATTAAGTTATAACCTTTTAAATCTTTTAATCTAATTCAATATCCATCTGGCCTTACTGAGTGGAGGAAAGACATAAATACGGTGCGCCATATTGTCAACTACATTTCAATTTTGAAAGTAACTTTGAAACGTGATTAAAGCATCAATTCATCATCATCACGAATAGAGCTTCAATTACAATCGACTCTACCATCGCAAGCTTCTTCTTGTTCCGCTATTTCCCTAGATATTAGTCTTGGTTGCAAATTTAGAGTATGAAATTAAGACTGATTAAATAACAAAGAATTCTATAGAAGCTAAGACGAAATCCAATCAAGTCGACAATCAATTTGGTTTGTTTCCTTAATCTACTATCCCTTGAATGATTGTCGTTGCCATTTTGCTGACATTTTTGTTCTCATCCAGTCCATTCTTTCCTTTATTCCTTCAATTTCTAGTGACAACAGTTAACTTATTGGCAAAAATATTTTATTCATCTCAACCAAGGAAAAACCCATTAATAATTTATTCAACAACTTCTGCTAACTATACTTACTCTCTTCTACATAGAAGTTGAGGCATAGGAAGTTTAAATCAGCTAAAGAATTAACAACTCAGATCCTTTTGCATTATTGCTGTCATCCAATTTACAATCTATTTACTCTATTCCACTAGTAGGCACTCCTATTACTAGTTCTATTGAAATCCTTTGGTCTACTCATAGTTTTACATATTTAAGCTAAAAAGAAAAAATACTCTTGTTATCCATTTAAAGCAAAAAAAACGTACATTATGGCTGAGTGTTATACCGAAAATGAATCCATATTTAAAAATATATCAAGAGCTGGCATCGATTTATATTTTGCAGCTTATGTTAGTACATTTTTAATCACCGTGATTGGCAACATCCTCTTAATCACAGTTATCATCCAAAATAAAGGTGGTAATATGAAAAATGTCACCAATGTCTTAATTATTAACATATGCTTATGCAACTTACTGATCGCCTTTAGTGTAGTACCATTTCGACTGGTCGAGGCGGTTTATAAATATTACGTTTTGGGTAGTTTCTCTTGTATCATGATGCCTGCGTTAGAAAAAGTTCTTTTTACTTTAGCTATTCTTCATATTATGGTTTTGGCTATTGTACGCCATCGAGCTATCGTATTTCCATTAAAAGCTAAGCCTAAATTACGCCATGCAATCTATATCTCGTTATTTCTGTGGGCAGTGGCTATCGTTAGCGCAACACCAGTCATGGTGGGAATGCCAGTTCACAATATTACGGCCGATATTTGCTCGGTACAATTTTGTGAGCCTCAATTGTGGTCACCGGGATTTTATCGCATATACTATATTTATCTGGTCTTAATTAATGATATTCCATTAGCCATTACAGTAGCGATTTATATCCACATCTACTTAGTGATTGATCGTCGAAAAGTGGAAGGCAGCGACATTAATTTAACCCTCAAGACCAATTTAAAAGTCCTACGCATGTTGATCGCTATGTTGGTTGCTAGTTTAGTCTGTTGGCTACCTTATTCATCGTTGGTATTTATCCTATCTATCACTACTTTATCCTTTCCTGGCCGTGCAACACTTTTATCCGTCTGTAAATGGATTGCGATTTCCAACTGCTGTTGTGATCCCATAATTTGTGTAGCATTCAATAAAGGCTTCCGCAATGGCTTAAAAGCCGTCTTTTGCGACATCGACTTAGGACCCAGGTACGATATTTCCGCTAGGCAAAGGCAACGAACAGAGAAACGTTTACAATCGACTGATATACGAGCATTTAATGAATCCGTTATATATTATTCTAATATTTAAGTTTCTTTCTTTCTATGCTCAACTTTATTTTTATCCAGACGTACTTTCAAGAATGCTCTAATAACTAGTCTATTTTCCTTGACAAGAAATACTTTACTTCATTATTTTTGATTTCGTATATTGACTTATCGGCTAAATACAGTGGTTACAACTCCTATTTTTTTTTTTTCACTTTTCGCACTCTTTGATATTTTTAGCCTCTTCTTTTTTTTACCCTCCATGTCTTGATATTTTTATTCATTTTCCCTTTTTCAATTTATCTTCATAATTCCTTTGAGAATACAAAATATTACTAACTTACCACCAACAGTATCAAGTTACTTTATCAATATATCTATTTTCAAACGATCACCTATAACCAAAACTAGATTGAGCCGTATTAACACCCATTCGCCTCGATCTGTGCTTGATTTTTATCCAAGTAAGGACATTTATTCGTATGTCTTACTGAATATATTATCAATATATCGAAGTCATTTTGATGCCAGCTATGATGGCTATCCAAACCAAGCCAGCCTTGAATTGTTCCATGAATGAAATTCTTATTCTATCGCAAGACAAAACTGTAATTACCGTTCCATTATCTGCGTCTATCGCGAAACAGTAACTAATTAGTCAGAAATTAGAGATGGTTTGCATCCTATAAACAAAGGCGAGATTGTACTAGTTATCTTTTTCCATTTCTCAAAGTAAATTCTCTCGGTTCGAAATTAAAATTGACATTGAAAGATTGCGCTACTCCTATCATCGACTTTAAGTTTAAGTGGCCACTCAAGAGACTACGCGTATACGTTAGTTTGGTTGTTTATATCAGAAGATAAACATAGCAGGTTTTGTCTGGTTTTTCTATTCTTTTATCCACAATCATTAATCTAACTGTCTGAAATGAATTCAAAGTCTTCAATCTACTTTCTCCTGTAATAATTTCTAATTTATCTTGACAAATTTTTCTACTAAACAAAGTAAACTGGTATTCTTCGGCTATTTTTGTTGCCTTTTCCTTAAAACGCTAAGTAGTAAGGCACCCCCATCCATAGCCTGATTGGAAACCTCTGACAACTGAGATGAATATGAAAATGCCTGGTAATCTAAGCAAAAGAAATTTTCCCTACATTTCTGGCCAATTAAAATTCATCATAAGGTGATATAGTGATTGCAATCTTAGATGAGAGGATATGAAATCTTTCCAATGGTTTGATGAATGTGGTTATTCGATGACTTTAGACCGTGACAAGCTGAAATTAATTTCGAATTTTTTCTTCAATGGCCATCGTGGTATTTATTGACTAATATGGCAAGTATGGCCTTCAGTGACCTATATACATCTTACAAACTGCAATCTTTAAATTTGGTATTACCTTCATACTTCGGAGAAGGAAAAATATCAGTCTTTGTGCCCTTCGAGTTATGGGTTAGCATGAACAAGTTCGGCAAATTGCGTCAATTGCAGTATCGTAGCACTTTCCCCTACATATCGTTGCTTTATTGTTTTATCTTTGAATTTTCTGAGCTCAATTTAGGCACAGAATTGAACCATTGTAGAATCCAATTTTGGGTTCAACATCTATATAAAATAAGATAGCTGTTAGGACAACTAGTTAGGCAAGTCACTAGGCATTTTGCTTTCTGAGTCCTGAAAATTGTCATACTCTACTGATTTTTCTACAGTAGTATCTGTCGGAAAAATCTGAAAACTTAATGATCAACAAAAATTTGCTACCAATTTCATGGCTTAATGTCGTCACTTATATTATGAATATGTCATGGATAACTATATCGATTTCAGAAAATTCAAGGTTCAAAGTCGCTATGAAAAGGAAACTTGGATAGCAGATCTTCACTTATAACCCAATCCTATATTACATTATCAATTTCCACTCAGTCTACATCTCTGGCTTTCCTGTATTTTTTTACAGTTGTTAACCCGTGGCATATCCTATATGATTACTTTATAGTTCTGAATTTTCACACAGAGTGGGCTATATGGAGCCATAGCCAGCCCGACTAAAATGTTTGCGATAAATGAGAACGATATGTTGTGTAATAGAAATTTTTACCAATATTAAAAGAACAACTTCTTCTAATCCGATCAATTACTTCTTGCATCGTTCATTCATACAATTAAATTAAGTTTTTCCATAGTATACAATCAATTTTTTATCGTCAGAACATCTCAAAAATACCAGCCGTAGCATTTAAATAGGTTAAATTTTTCTTTATAATGTTTGTTAGCATAATCAAATTCTATTTTCCTATAAATTATGAATGTCAGCCTTCATAAAAAAGACACTATTCTATGTTATAAACTAATTTTATTTTATCAATTGTGCATCAATTTCATGTACAGCTTAATTATATGCAATACTATCAATTTATTATCTACTATTTTTATTTTCAACCATGACTGATACTCAAAGTTTCATTTCATCGAGAATGTAACTGGTCAGGATGTTCATACCAGATTTTTTCGAAATACTGCCATCCTTTAATACTGTTGCCTACAGAATAATCTAACTGGATGAGCAATAGTTACTTTTAACTATCAGAAAGATACTTTAATTCATGATGTAGAAATTTGGGTATTATTACTTAGTTGGGTGCTAGATAATAAGGGATGGTTAAAGGATTGAACTATCAGTTTCTAAATAGTGAGAACATATGTACATATCTCAAGATAAATGTTGTTAAGACATGAATACTGCCATTACTTTATGGCAAAATGGCTTATGTCGATTCCGAATCAAAGCAGTTAAGAAGCATGGAAATCAAGTTACATCATTTTTTATGCCGATAGAAAGATTTTCACAGCTGAATTGATGGAATAGCTGTTATAAAATACCATGACCATTTAGCTAACCACAAGGTATAGTGAATAATTTAAATTAGCTAGGTAAATAGATAGGTTAACTAGATAAGGAATTGACTATTTAAGCTAAGTACTATGTTTAAATGTGGCTGATTTTCCTCCATCATTATATTGAACTAAAATAATGAGTAATATCATGCCGTAAAATTTGCTCTTATGAAGGTGATAATGAGATCCTTAAGGACTTATCTACCATATATTTTAAACTATTTTTTATATTCATTCTATTTGATAACTTCTAACTATATAATGAAGATAAAAGCACCCAAGAAGCAGATTATTATCATGAGTGTAAAATAGCAAAGCCATAAAAATCTGAAATTGCACATCATCTTGTTTGTATTATTCAAAATGTGTTACAGTATGGGATACCATGTATCAGATAGACGATTAACCACCATCAAATTCAACTGTTAATTATATGGACTTCAGTTCATAGTATAACTAGATAGATATAACTAGTTTATAAACGATAGCTCAGTAAAACTGTAGAAACAATAGAATTTACGGCTTTCTCATTCAAATTAACTGTAACGAAATAGAAAAATGCAAAAATCTATTTCATTGCATGATACATGAAGCTTTCTTATTCAGTATTAGCCAATTGCAGTTCTATTATTTATGCTATAATGTTTACAATATTGAAACGTTGTCTAGTTTTTATCATTCCATAATGATCGATTCGTAAATGTAAACTGGTAACTGTACAGGAGAACTTAGAAAGAATATTATTCAATTTTTAGATTAATATGATACAGATCCAGTTCCAATAATGCTTTAAGAACTTTATGACAAATTGATTGCAAACTTATTTAATTATTTTTTAAATTCTTATTTCCTACAGAGAACCAGGCAAAGGAACTGTTGTAACAACAGTCACGGCATCTAGTCGGCGTCCAAGTTTTTAAGCTTCTTGTGTAATCAAATGGCCTACGTGGTATAGACTGGTCGGGTAAATTTACTTGTAAAGCCCAAAATTTACCCAATAAAATGAACATTGTCTGAAAATTAAAGAAAAATATGCTCTAGCACCTCAGAAATAATGCGTGTACTATGTAAATTTTATTATTTTTCTTACCATACGGTAATATGTGAAATATTAAAGAAGCTGATATCAAATTATGCCATATCCATGGAAGTGTAACTCTAAATTTCAGAAATAGATGATAATTCACTTCTCGTCAGCTGCTAATGGAAGTTACTACGCCATACTCCATGTACCGCTTATTACGAAATGATTTTAAATTACGACAAAGCAGTCCTACGCTGGGGCAGTAAAGCAAATATAATACGATGTGGTCGAGTTAAATTGCACAGTTTTATTACATCGATATTCATCTAAATTCATCTAAATATTGGTCCTCGTTATAATATATGTTTCTTAATAATCACTACTACACTGTATGATTTTTCAGCATAATAAAGTAAATATTACCTAGGAACTATCACTGTACCAGTAACTGACCTGATGATATTACATCAAGCACTAAAGTAAAATCGTTCAATTCTCGATGATAACATATATGAGCTATGTCAATTGTCATAAATTCGGTGAAGATATTTGATCTGTCAGGTCGGCGGCTACTATGAATTTAGTTTATAAATTAGTATGTATATTAAAATATTTTTCCTATTTTTAAGCTTTATCTTGTATGTTCTCGTTTACTCTTATGTTGAATAGCTGTCTGTACATTCATTGTATTGATGAAACGATGCTCGGAATCAAATTACTCTTCATCAACATTTTAGGGCTTGATAATATTATAATCATATATATATATATATGTTATATAGTATATAGCAATAAACTGATTCATTCTTCAACTTTGTTCTTGATATGCTTTGACAGTGCAAGCTCAAATTTAACCATGATTATAATCAAGCGGATATGCTAATTAAAAATATGTAGCATATGTAAAAACTTTATAAAATTTCCATAGAATTCTAGTTTAGTAATTATGATGTTTGTTCCATTTACTATCGATATTTTATTCATCATGAATTTTATTAGCCAGAAAACTAGGTTCTATCAAAGAAAGCGATATTAATAACCACCGTGTCTTTCATATAACTACCAAATCCTTCGTTTGGTTAGCTACATAGATACGTTAGTAACTTCTAACGTCTAATATTAACCATACCAAAATTGAATCAAGCTACTTATTTGCTTGTGTAGTTATAAATTATAAACCCAATTCAAAGAGTTGTGATTACAGCAGCATTATCTAATTTCGTTCCTGTTAATGCATGAAATCATTCCGCGGCTCTGCAAGATTGATACTGCCTGTATAGTTGTATTTGTTTGCTGACTGGAAGGAGAGTAACAACTTGCATGCATGAAAGAGACTTATTACATATCAAAAAGTGAAACACTATAGACATAAATCCAAATAAAATTTACTGCATTGAATGGTATTGAATACAGATTATATGTAATTGTGACATATCCAACTAAATATTATCCAATGAAATGTTACATTGCACCTTAAAAATACTACCATATAAGCCACATCAAAAATTGACATACTTTCCAATTACTATTCAAAAATTGATCTACATTGTCTTGGATAATTGAACAAGACCGTACATCCATCATATTTACCGAACGCAGCCACAAGATATCATTAAAGAATGATCATGTAATTAATCCACTGATAGAAACACTTTTGCCGTATTACAAAATCGGAACATGTACATCGGTTGAATTCATAAACTTGGCAATAAGTATTTGTAATCCTAAATTGGATTACTGATACAGCATTATTTTTATCTTTACTGTACATGGCAAATGGTATAATTTTTCAAATTCAACAAGACATTTGAGACCTCGCTATTTTGCTCGACGTAAAATCTATGCTTCATTATCATATTAATATATGCCGTTTAACTTATTCTCCTTGTAAAGCAACATAAATCCTGAGGCTTGGCCATTACAGTAATTTGTATCATATTACCAGTGTACTAATGCAGTAAAACTACCGTTCAGAAGTGGCTATCAAAAATTATAAGGCAGTATTCAAAGTATTGCAGTAGATAAGACATGATATTTCGCATAAAACATTTACCATAAAAACTATGATATTTGTATCTAATTATATATAACAGTTACAGAGATTCGTAAAGATTCTTCAAGACTGACTGCAATTTTGCATTAGTATTTGCCACTCTAAATTAGCAATATTTATTAACCTAAATTTCAGTTCTCAGAATATCTTTCTAACCAGTATTAACACAACAGAATTTTTGTTAGCGTATAGCATCGTATTTATATCATCTTTATCTAAAAACGATAGAGTATTTTGACATGTTACAAAACTCTAAGAACTTGTTAAACATGAGTAAACAAATATCCTATTCACTTATGTAACCTTCGGATAAGTGAATTCAAGTACATTTTAAATTGTGATTTTAACTATAACTTGCGAATTTCATGAATCAATGGAGAGTTATCTTTACCACTGGATCCAACTGTTGATAGAGTATCACATGAAGCTTCCGATGCAGAACTTCTACGGCGTTCCGTACTAAGTACAACTAGAAGATATTCAGTAACAGACTATCAATTAATCAGGCCTTTGCTTGTAAATAAGTAACCGTTTGAATTGCAACATGTCTTTCTAAAATCTCAAGCTTATCTAACCTTCAGTTTCTATATGATAACAGTTAGAATCTTCTGATAATAGATTCCTCTCGGTAGGTGAGCTACTAGCAACTTGAATAGTACAGACACGAAAGCCATCAGAATCGCTATCGTTATTTTCGTTGCTTTCTGCTTGCTCCTCTCCAGGAATAGCATTTAGAGATATATCACGACCATGAAGTTGAGATAACGCCTCAGATTCAGTGTTATTACTACTGGTATTGTCATCAGATGGGATCTAGACCATACATTAAAGAAATAAAATTGATGGTTCAATGACAATGTCGTATTCATTGATATATGAATAAGCAAAGTGTGTAATTGTTTTGAGATTAATCGAGCCTATTATCATAATTATCAATAAGCGATGCTTCTTTTATTACTTACAAGTCCCAAAGTTCTTAGAAAATTAGATTTACACAAGGGACAAGTTTGTTTATTCTCTAGCCAAGAGTCTACACAAGTTTTATGAAATTCGTGCCTAAAGGATTAAGAAAACTTATTAAATACTACAGAAAGAAAGACTGCTCTGATATTTCTTACCACATAAAGTGAACATTTCAAAAATTAAAGTTAACTATGTGATATCTTTGGATATGCGATGAGGAAAACGTACTTGCAAGGCAAAATTCGTAAAACATCGCCAGCCACAAATTCATCTAAGCAAACGGGGCAAAGGTTATCGTCTTCGGAACTCGGCTCCTATATTAAATTATATTAATAAAGATATATTTGTTAACGGATAACAGTAGTAACAATCTGAAAATGAACAAAGGTAAATCATCTTGCAGTGTGTAAATACTAGAAGTTCTATACAAGCTTACTGATGGTCTTGTAAAACGTTTGGTAGGTAATTTTGAGACTGCCTTCTTGGCCATTGCAGATAATCGTTTCTATAAATAGTAATTAAATTTGGTTACTCATATAAGTAATTAGTAATAATATTGCATATTGTGAGGCAACACGAAGTTCATTCATCTTTAATTAGTATCCTGAGGTTAACAATACAGTCATTTATTATAGAATAGTGAAAAATTTTCATTTGTCAAGACATACGTGGATGATGGCTATTACACTAAGGTATCAATTACTTACAAAAGTTACTACTAAGGTAATGTGCAGAAGTGAAGCTTAGGCGAGCTTTTACGTTACGAAAATACTACCCTAATAGGACTATTATTTCACTGTAAATAAATAACATATATAATACGAGTATGATTGATAATGGTGCCGCGAAAGAACAATTTCATCTCCGCAAATTGTTGTATCAACGCTACTTTAAATATTGATTCAACATTACGGTAAAACTAAAATTACAGGATATTTTTACACGAAACATGCTAAGAATACTTCGTAATGAAAGCGACCAATAAAGTAATGGATTCTTGTAGCTTATAAATAGAAGGGCTATTTTAATGTGCTACAAATTAATATTTAATATCGTCATAGAAATATATAATGCTGATTTACTTTCAATAACAATTAATATTAAATGCTAAAATGGTGAAATCATCTGATGTTATCGTAGTATGGCCTGTGGTTTGACATGTTTCTAAATATAGATGATGGTGAAATTGCGAATACAGTAATCCCAAAATAAACTGTCATAATTAAATACTACTATTACAGTTTGTTAGTCACCATAGCAATGGCTATAAACAGAACGAACACTACATCACTGACTGGGCTTTTAATTATTAGGAATCCAACGTAATGCCTGTTACATCTCAACAGCGAGAGCCTGCATTTATTACTTTTCATTGAAATGATAGAATAGTAATATGAATCTATTAAAACTCTTTGTCTGATCTGGAGTAACAATATCTAATTACACTTTGAATATAATAATTCATAATACTTGCTGTTAACAGGATATAAATCCAACAGAAGAAATACTAAAGTAAATTAATTATCGGCGTTGTATGGGCTCAAGTTCTTAATAATTAATAAAAGTCGTAACTACGACTTATCATTGTTAATGACATCATAAAAGTATTAAAAAAGTGAAGATTTGTCTCATTAAATTGCTCAGTTCCGGTAAGAAAGTTTGGACAAGACGTATTGTGGTAGTTGGAAGTCAACCATTCATAATAAGGCTAGAAACAACTTTCAATGAAGCTGTATTATAACCAATTAGAATACACGTATAACTGCCATACGGTACAGTTAATTTTTTTAAGGAAACTGAATATGCACCTAGAAAAACATTCCCATGTTATATCAAATAGGTGTCTTAGAATAACAAGTTGATTGTATGCAATTGTTGATTAATACTGAGTCAACATTGCCGTAGTCAATAAAATCACGATATGGCGCAGCTATAAAGGCCTATGACAGTAAGGCAGGAAATAACCGAACTTTACTATATATATAATAAGACGTTTTTAAGTAAGTATATATACTTTGAATACACATTCAGATTAAAATCTACTGAAAATGTCTAATAATAGCCGCGATTCCATGTATCAATATTCTCTAAAGAACATATTCTAGCCTATACAGTACACGTTGAAGTCCAGGCGCACTGCCTACACAATATATTTTACAGAATTTGTTGGCAAGTAAAATACTTGATAGCAGGCAAGGAAGTGATGCAGTTTCAAGATGCATATCGTTCAAACTAACAATTATTCTTATTGCAGTCACGGTACGGTATATACTGGCATAACATCAATAGTTAGTCAATCCACATTTACTTCAATAATTTTGGGGTTACTACCTTAATGGAAGGGCACTTGGATAGGGTATTTGAAAAACAATTTGCAAATTGAGTAGTTCCTGTCAATCTGACGGTTTGAAATTGTACAGTAGTGGATATCTTACATATTTGTACTACGCTAAAGCTAAAAATACTATCAATATTGGGTAATCCTTTCATCCATTAATCAAAGCATTAATTACTGCAATTGTAGCATTGAACTTTTTTCATCCATTTTCAATCGCATGTGCTTCAACTTCTTGATTCTACCCACTGATGCGAAATACTTAAGAGAAAACTTGGTGGTCATTTTCCAGAATTGCAAGACTACCACGTTATTCTTTCAACGAATATTGATTAACTATGAGCTCGATTGAACACATTACTACCGTACGCTATAACTTGACTCTACCCATTGATGCAAAAATTTAGGGAAAGTTCTGTAGTCACTTTTGAAATTGGAAAACTAATTCTATTTATTATAGATTATTATAAGAAATATTGATTAATTTTGAGATCGACTGAACACATGGTTACTGTACACTACAGTTGATTCTATCCACAGATGCGAAATTAGGTGATCACTTTCCGAAATTGGAAAAATTACCACATTTATAATCATAATGAATGCTGATTAATTTTAAGCTCGATTACTACTGTACGTTACAGTCTAATTCGACCTACTGATGCGAAAATTAGGCAGGCAATATTTCGGAATTGGCACCATATTTATTATTTCGAATATTGAGTAATTTTGAGCTCGATTGGATACATTACTACTGTACTGTGCGTTACAGTTCAATTCTACCCACCGATGTGAAAATTAGTTGATCGGTTTTGCGAAATTGGGAAAAAAATTGACTACATTCATTATTACATCGAATATTGATTCATCTTGAACTCGACTGGACACGTTACTACAGTACTGTACGTTACAATTTAATTTGACCCACCGGTGTGAAAATTAGTTGATCGATTTTTCGAAATCGGAAAAAATTGACCATATTCATTATTATATTAAATATTGATTCATTTTGAGCTCGATTGAACCCATTACTACAGTACTGTACGTTTACAGTTTTAATTCTAGCCACCGATGTGAAAATTAGTTGATCGATTTTGCGAAATTGGGAAAAATTTGACTACATTTTTCATTATTATAGAGAAATACAGATTGACTTTGAGCAACAATCTGGACACATTACTATGTTGCAGCTTGACTCTGCCTATTGATACCAAAATGTTCGGAAAAGTCATTACATTAAATATTGATTCATTTTGAGCTCGATTGAACCCATTACTACGGTACTGTACGTTTACAGTTTTAATTCTAGCCACCGATGTGAAAATTAGTTGATCGATTTTGCGAAATTGGGAAAAATTTGACTACATTTTTCATTATTATAGAGAAATACAGATTGACTTTGAGCAACAATGTGGACACATTACTACGTTCCAGCTTGACTCTGCCTATTGATACCAAAATATTCGGAAAAGTCATTACATTAAATATTGATTCATTTTGGGCTCGATTGAACCCATTACTACAGTACTGTACGTTTACAGTTTTAATTCTAGCCACCGATGTGAAAATTAGTTGATCGATTTTGCGAAATTGGGAAAAATTTGACTACATTTTTCATTATTATAGAGAAATACAGATTGACTTTGAGCAACACTGGACACATTACTACGTTCCAGCTTGACTCTGCCTATTGATACCAAAATGTTCGGAAAAGCCAGTGAGTGACCTTTTCCGGGAATTGAACAATCACTTTATTATTAATTTGAAGTTACACTGGACCCATTACAAGTTTACAAAGTTGACGACTTTGATAAAGTCAGGGATCTCTGACGTGAAAATGTTGCCAAAAATCAGCAAAAACTGCTTTCGCTATTCCCCTGAAAATATATGCGAGACATTGGTTCTGTAGGTCTTCTTTTATTGCGGTAGTCCAGGATCGTCACCATGGTCACACCACTCCTGTACTGACGGACGACAGTACAGTACTTGCACTTAGTGTCACTCGGTACCACGCGTCGGCTTTCCAGATTGGCGATAGGGCACGTTTTACATTCTAACGTTGTTACACTTCAACCGTTGTCCATGGGTGAGTGCACGGTCCGGTACCGTACTGTACCGGTCCAGTACCTGTATGTGTGTCACTGTGTGTGTGACCTGTAGACTGACTTGTCCCCTGAACTAGTTGCGGGCTGGCGGACGGTAACTCAGAGACGTTTTAACCCCCCCCCCCCCCCTATTAGCTGTCATAATAATATCTATACAGTATAGTATAGTGCAGTAGTATAGAGTTAACCCCCAAAATTGGGGGGGCCACCATGGACAGTACTGCCAATTCATGGCGAAAGTCGCTGGAAATGGAAGGATTCAAAATAACTTGAAATGAAATTTAGGTCTAAAACTCATAGTATAAACTGCCCAGTGAAAAGTAGAGGAAGTGCTTGAAGTATCAACGGGCTCTAAATTAAGTAGAATGGATCAATAGATAAGAACTTAGTGGTCCATGACTAACTAGCGTGTGGGTTGGAGACTGCCGGATAACACCAAGTCCAATTATTACGTTACCAAAACCAAAAATATTGACATAAGTCAACTTGAATCCTTTACGACATTGATGAAATGTTATTAACTCATGTATTTCGATCTATAATTCGACAGATTGAAAGAGATAATAAATGGACTGTAGTCGATGGATTTCAATCTGTCGAACTAGTCGATGAATTAATCATTGTAACCAATTAAGATAAAGTCAAACTGAAATCGACTCTTCAATAACTTTGCCACTGTAAATTATGAATAGTGTGTCAAAAAGGAAGAGAATGACACTGGCTGGTAGCGCAATACAGTGGCAATCACTTTAGGATACAATCAATTGAAATGGATAATATCAAAAATGGAATGAGCTAAGCATCAGACATAAAAGAAGAGAAAAGAATTTCAATAAGTAATAACCTATCCAAGCGATAGTCTAATTTACGCTGCTTTGCACATTGAGTCAGTGTAATGGACAGTTCAAGCCTGTAGATAATAAGGCCTTTGATATGGAATTCATGAGCTAAATGCACTACCGTAAACCTTTTCCTAATAAAGTGCATTAATTTATCCTCGTATTTGTGTATCCCGTCAGTTATCGTTACTATTGTATCATTTCAAATGGTAGCGTACGTTGAGGCATAAAAATGGAGAGTAAAGCTAGAATTGAGTTGTTCTCAAAGTAAGACATTGTATGGTTGACAAAATGTTGTTCAACATCTAATTGGTATCACTGTCTCTTTTTTGAAAATTATCAACAGCAATAACAAATTGTCAATTTACTCGGTACTGATCGACTCTGACAACAAAAAAAAGTGATATCCCAAGCAATGAAGTAAGATAGTAACACAAACCTGATTCCTTTGACGATTTTTCAAATAGCGAAAACGTTGAAAATAATAAACTAATAACCATCCCAGTGATACCACCATAAAGATTATAAACGATACCGAAACGAAAAAGATGGATGTACGATTGAAATCCCAATGATCGACCGTACTTCCAGTAGTGATTCGAACGTACACTTGGGTTCCATTCCTCATAATATGAAGTAAGTCGTTGCCAGTCGATTTGGTAGTTGAAACAGAAATGAAATTGCGCACATGCTTGTCAGTCATAATGAGTTCATCGCCATCCATGTTATCGTAGATGATGATACCACTGGCATTTAATTTTTTAGCAGCATCAATCTTCTGGTTAAAGTAGCAAGAACCACGGCGTACAAAAGCAATCCATCGTTCATTATTACGGATAGGGCCATAATTGTCGGAGTGGCAGCCTTCCGATACTACTGCAGTAATAAGCATCCCTTCAGCAGGGTTTACTGCTGAATTTTTACCGTAGTAAAATTTATCCCTATAATATCTGCTAAACGTGATGTTTTTATATGTCCATGTAACATTAATTTGAGCGTAAGTAAAATCGGCGCGACGATAACAATCGACCGATTGGAGTAATGAACAAGTAATAACCAATACTAGTGCGACCACACTTAGCCGATAATTCATATTTGTAGATTGATAATGTTGAACAATGTTTTTGGAAAAAAGGATCTGGCTGTGACAAATGGAATTAGTGCAGCAGTAGTATGCCGATGAATAGCGTCCACTGTACAAGACAGCCGGCTACGAGGTTGACGTTTTTTTCTTCTTCTTACAGTTTTACGAATGAGCTATTTTGCTTTGTAACTTTTCAGTTAATATTGAAATGCTATTCTAAATTCTCGTCCAATTCAAAACGTTTGAATTGTACTAGTATCCACCACCTAACTAGTCCAAGCAGTATTCCAGTCAAGCCCTCGATGTTAAAATGATTTTCTCGACTTGATTTTGTGATCAACTTTGCTGTTGTTTTTTTTTTGTTATGGCCAAGACAAACTGTGTCACTGCTAGAGTACTGTACAGTGTACAATGTACAGTGTACAGTATATTCTGTCATTGTCTGTACAGTACACTGTACTGTACTACTGTAGAGTACAGTAACATGACTCTATGACGCTAAAACCCCTGCTTCAATTGGGTACCCCCCCCCCGATCTATTTTTCATGTCCTCTGGGTCAAATCTTTTTATTCTCCTTCTTTCTTTTCTGTCATTGAATTCTAGTTACCAGGTACTCGGATAAAAACTACCACAGAGATAGAATCCAAAAAAATTTTTAAAGTAGGAAATAGTAATTGCCTACACTTTTCAAACAGGAAGAGCATTACAGTGAGGTACCGTGGTCTGATGTCCGGTCTTGTACGGTACCATGGTCCATCGATTACTGTACTGGACAGTGGACACTGGATACCACGCTGGACATGGATCATTTCCCGAGGACGGACGGACTTTTTTCACCGAACGAGGCAGGCGGACAATGTCGAAAATAACTCCTGTACTGTATTTAGTATGGCACTTCCGCGTTTGTTTTCTAAATCTTTGGTACTAATTCAAATAATATTGACGATCTTATATAGCTGTTTTCAAGTAGAACTTTAGTAATAGATAATAAGACTCAACTGAATATGACTTAATTAAGAAAAAGCCAGTCCGTTCAGAATCGACCGTCTGCATACTAAAAGTGCCGTCATAGCGAAACGTGTTTGCCGTACTATTTTGCCAAGATGAGGCTGGCAATGTCTGTCCGTCCAAGGGTGATCCGTCCATGTTGCAGCTGCTTTAAAATGCATAGCACGGTGTCATACCTTAGTATACAGTACTGTACTACTACGGTGCAGTTCGTTATGCGCACTGTGGACATTCAAGTGATATCGCCCAAACTTGAACTGGTGATACGACAGAAATAATGTCACACAGTCTTTGAAAATGCACAGCACGGTGTCATACCTTAGTATACAGTACTGTACTGCTACGGTGCAGTTCGTTATGCGCACTGTGGACATTCAAGTGATATCGCTCAAACTTGAACTGGTGATACGACAGAAATGATGTCACACAATCTTTGAAGTGATGCCGCGCAAACTTTAAAATGCATAGCACAGTGTCATACCTTAGTATACAGTACTGTACTGCTACGGTGCAGTTCGTTATGCGCACTGTGGACATTCAAGTGATATCGCCCAAACTTGAACTGGTGATACGACAGAAATGATGTCACACAGTCTTTGAAAATGCACAGCACGGTGTCATACCTTAGTATACAGTACTGTACTGCTACGGTGCAGTTCGTTATGCACACTGTGGACATTGAAGTGATGTCGCCCAAACTTGAACTGGTGATACGACAGAAATAATTGTCAGACAATCTTTGAAGTTGCGCGACATCACTTGAAGATTGTGGAACATCATTTCTGTAGCGTATCACCAGTTCTTACGTCGTATTGCCCTGAGCCTGGTGAGCCCACCGTCTACTGTAGTTAGTCCTATTTCCACGTTTGAAAACAAAGAACATACCGTACTGTACTGTACAGTGTACAGTACCTTGCACTCGTTCCTGTGCATACTGTACTGTACACTGGACATTGTCAGTTGGTCACGTGGACTGGTCCACGCAAGTCAGGTGCAGCATTCGTCATGATCCCGTACAGTACAGTATACTGTACACTGTCAAATCTGGACTGGACTGTACGGTGCTGTACTGTAGACTCGGGTGCCACTGTACTAGACTGTATTGCATTATACCACATCGCCAATCTAACCTAAAAACTGGTCATAACCATAGCAGTGAGCAGACTGTTCGAGCACGTTGGCCGCTTAAAATACTATAAAGTCATCGTCGTTCCTTTTTTCCAGCCCTTCGCGTTCATGTGGATTTCGTTGCAGGTATGTCTGATCCAATCATCATGTCGATATCTTGCCAATCCCAACTACTTTTACCACTAATCATGCTTTTTCCCAGTCAGAATGATTGATTTTATAGTTAGATTGACTTATTTGATGTTCAAATGGAGCGATTACTAGTTGTTCGCTTCATCATTTTACCCTTGATGCTTTTGCCTATTTATAAAATGGCTGACCAAATCGCCACGAATCGTCGTGTTGGTCGACTGTAATTTTGATTCAATTTGGCCAGTTTGTTATGACTTAGTAGTATAGATAGAGAGAGATGATTGTGAATTATCCAAAGAGTAAAGTCATCATTACTGAAATACAGTAGGCAATTTGGATTACAACGTTCATCGCATTATCATTTTCAACACGACTATGACGATCAGTTGAAATGCTGTAGACTGGTATACCTAGTGGTACAATAATTGCAACAGGAAATCGTTCGATACCTCTTGATTCAATAACTTAGATAACTTCATATTACTACGACGCATTATTTAGGATACATGCGACGAAGATCTTATAGTAGTGTAGAAGAGGAAATAATATGCGATCGCCCTTAGTCTCATACAATCGTAGTCCAATCATGATACAAAAACGATCAGTTTGAGTCCTTGGATTAGCTGATGATAGTCTGCAATAGCGTAGGATAAAAAGTTTCCCATATTGCTGCTCGATATCAGATCATGGCGGTATAATTATCTATTCTTTGTGCTAAATTCATTATATTGCTTAAAATGAATCAGATACCAATGCTTGTGTGGTGGTACTATCTCTTCTGCGACTACATTTGAATTACGTCTCAGACTCATCAATCATCAACTGCAAACTCCATAAACTACCATTCCCTCATTATCTAACATAAACTATTTTAGCTTAAAAAACTTAAGGACTGTGTCATTAATGCTGCTATTTCTTTTTAAACTACTAATAGCCATGAAGACCATATTGTCTACTGCATACGTCAAGATTCCTGACGATAGTAAGTCAAAATCTCAATTGTAGATTCGAAAAATGAACATATTCACCAGTGTTTAGTTGTTCGATGCATGGATGGAGAACCGATGTTTTCTTCTAGTCAAATACGCAAATTTTCAAACTTTGCATTGTAGCCTATCTATTAACGCAAATTGTATAAGCTATGGTAGTGAGTTTGACGTTACAGTGTATTCAGATTAGGATAGAATGCAAGTTTGATGCGTTACGTTACTGTCGGTAACTTTCCAAGCATGACGGGAGTGCTCGTTGCTAATTTTAATCGTTTGACATATTTTACAGTTACCATTAAAGCCAGTAGGCGAAAGATTACCGTCAGTGGTAAACGAGGTACTCTAAGCCGAGAATTTAAACACCTGAAATTGGAACTAAAGGTGATCGGTAAAAAATTAAGAGTAGATGTCTGGTTCGCCGACAGACGAGAATTGGCCTGTGTTCGCACTGTTTGCAGCCATATCGAAAATATGATTAAAGGCGTTACATATGTAAGTTCTATTTAACGAAGCCACCTGTGATGATGACATTTCAACTTTTCCCTTGAATGCATGGGATAAAATTTTCCCTATATCATACATGTAACGATAATAGTTAAAATCGTAAAAACAATGATGCTATACGTTGGATTATTGATCCTATACTTAATTTATTTCCTTAAAAGGGCTATCTTTACAGAATGAGATCAGTATATGCCCATTTCCCAATCAACGTCAATATTACCGAAGATGGTAAACTAGTTGAGATTAGAAACTTTTTGGGGGAGAAAGTTATCAGACGAGTAAGAATGAGAGATGGTGTAACTTGTAAAGTATCCCAAAAGCAAAAGGATGAATATACTGTATCAGGCAATGACATCGAACTTGTTTCGCAATCGGGTAAGTAAAATTTACCAACGTTTTCTTAATCATCGCGCTAAATTTACTTCATCATAAATTCTTCCTTATTAACTAAAATCATTTTTTCCATTAGCTGCTCTTCTCCAACAATCAACGACGGTCAAAGCGAAAGATATCCGCAAATTTCTCGATGGAATTTACGTGTCGAATAAGGAGACAATTGACGCTATGGAAATTTAAGTGTACATTTCGTAATGCAGATTCCTCAATAAATGTGTAACGCTTTAAATAAATGAAAACGTTGTCCTCTTCCTGAGAGATGATATAATATATGATAGTGTCATGAGAAGCTGGAGGTGCTAAGCTAATGTATTTTTATTTTATACACGTACAGTATTATCTTATTAGTATCTTTTGACTTCGATCGAGCATAATGTTTTACCATAGTGCAGTTAAAGATCTTTGTAGTCGAGTCTAGAAATATGAAAATTACAACAAGAATTGCTATTTCTGCTTTGGATGTGTTCCTTATACTTTATTATTGTGAACTTGGCATTAGCTTATGCTTAAGACAGGTGGCTAAAATTTAGACTAAAAATACAAGCTCAAGATGGTACAGTAATTTCCCCTTTTTAATGTACTGATACATAATTGAATTGGATAATAATTATTACTACAAAAAAGGGGTAGTGGTCACTGTTCAGTAGGGTTAAGAAGTAATCGCTACTGATGTTACTCGTTAGCCGATTCATATTCTACTAATCGGTTCTCAGACGGTTACTGTAGTGCAGCTTGAATGAACTAGCAGAAAGCTATTTGTGTAACCATTAATTTAGGAGTCCTATTATCGTTAATTGTAAGCTTATCGGTACATTTTCGTATTTTACAAATATAGTATTTGCACATTACAGCACATTCGTCAACGATCTTCAGAGCATGAAGGCAATGTTGAAATTACTAATGAAACTCGTGGAAATTGTCATTTTATATCGTACTGTAATTAAAATTACATTTCATTCAGAAGTATATGCTTTCGTTGATAATTTTCAATTAAAAAGATCATATTGTAACGTCTATTGCTACATTACAATCGTTAATCTAGTAGCTCATTACTTCGATGTTCAGATAAAGGCCATTCGACTAGTAGTTATCTCGTAGAATATCTTGTGCATTGTAGGACAAAAATCCAGGCAAAGTAAAATTATACTTACACAAAAGTAAGGTAAACTTTATTGCAGGCTTGTAATTCCTACGATAAATATGCAAACGGTATGTATAGTGAAACAATTTATAATATTAGCTAAACCACCTGGACACTCGATTTGAGAATTGTAATAAGAAGCACTACCTCAATTTCAATTAGTTTAAATTACAAAAAATAATGATGCCAATCCAGCACTGATATTCGAGCTACCAGTTCAGAGATTGTGTACGTATTAAGCGATACATTAAATATAATTTTTTTTTAACATGATATTAAAGTTCTTCCTTTCGTTGTTGCTCCTTTTTGAAGTCCTTATAGCGATATTTCGGTTGATTATCAAAAACCTATAAAAAAAATGAGGAATTGTAAATTATAAACAGGGCTATTACATAATTAGTAAAACTTTTAAATTTGAGCGTGTAAAATTGTAAGCAGTAACCTCGATACACTTCAATATCGTTCAATTTAGCGTACACGGTTCCAGTATAGTAATTGTAGGCATTTTAAAAGACTGCTAGCAGACATGAATAGCTATGCACTGATCTATTCTTTGTGTTGTGATAAATATAACTTATTCTAGACACTAAAACGTTTTAAGAGTATTGAAGAGGCCGATCATCGATATACTACTAGTACGCAAACAAATTATATAATTATACTATCGTATATGATAATGCACTTAGTTGGCCTAGTACAACCCCAAATCAAATTTTCATTACGATGTTGTCCAAGCATCCAGAGTACTTAATTATACTGCAATACTACATGTATAGATGAAATTTTGTCACCCTGAGAAATTACCTCTTCCTGCCAGCCAATGAAAGGATTTTGATATGATGCTTCGCGTGGTACTATGCTAAACTCTTTCGCAGCCTGAACATAATGTCATGAAGATTAAAATTGTTATCATACCGTCTATAAACAATGTCTCATTTCTTGAGATCCGTATATAGAAATGTAATCATGCTGAAGAATATACAAGCGACATTGAGTAAAAATTTACTACTTACCACATCTAAAATATTCTTATCCGATTCACTAAGTAGGGATTTAGACTTCTGACAAAATTCTACAGCCCACTTGAAAGAATCAGAGTATTCTGGATTCTCGCTAATTAACTGTATATGCGAATACAAAGCAAAATGATGATTAAGCTAAATTATTCCATGCTATATCAATTCGACACACCCCCCCCCCAAAAAAAAATCAAAATTACAATCTAAACTCACGTCTCGTGTAACTTTAAAAATTCGAGCGGCAATTTCAGAAATGAACAGGGTATTTTCAAAAATTACCGCAATAGCTGAAAGATAATTCATAATATCTTTAGAAAAGTACAAAAATAAGCATAAAACTTGGCCGTGGTACTACTGCATTAGGACAATAGCGTATACTAGACAAGCTAGCTTCCCACAGCAAGAAGTAATGTATGCTAAAATTTGTGATTCTTTAATAAAACACCGCTTTTTGTGTTACAACTACTAGCTCAATCTCTAACTTTAATGACGAAGCTAGCATGATCGATTTTACAGTTAATCATTATTACATAATATGTACCTCCAGTCAAATTTTTATCCATTGGCAATGGCATATCTGATGTATAGCCGGCTTCATCCACCGCCTTTTTCAATTCTGTAAAACCCTGAAAATAAATACAGTAATTAAATTAAGGTAACTGATGAAAGCTCGTAATGCGGATTATCTATGTAATGACATCAAGATTTTATCGTTACCAAAACTAGCCTGATATTAAATCTAACTACAACTGACGGAAAATTAAAGCACTGCTTACAAGATATTTATCGAGTCAATGATGGTAGTAATTAAATACTTTACTCGACGGATGTACGGTCATGTATATGCTCAAAGTAACTATTTCAAATGCAATCAACTCTGTTAATACTAACTCTTTTAGATGGCTAATTAACGGCATGCCTATTTTTATGCTATTATTTTCAGGATTAAAGTATGAAACACCTCTACTAAAATCAATAGCATTAAATATTAACTAATTAATGGTATCGTTATTATATTAAGCTTTAAGGTAATACGTACGATCAAATCGATATCTTTAATTTGGCTGACATTTTGATTGTAATTATTTACGTCGTGATTAATTGTACGTATATATTCTTAATGCTATCTCCAAAGTTATGACATTCTAGTTAGCTATAAACTACCTTGACGCTAGTATTGAAAAGATATTGAACGTAGGTTTTCCGATCATCTTCTAGTTGGAGGCTAGCAATTATTTTGATTCTTTCAAATTGATCCTTCCTCAGTTCCTCAATTTGCTCTTTAACTGTATTAGAGAAATGTAAATAATGCAACTGTTAATAAGTATACAAAAAAACATTCATTTCTCATTATAATGCATGTAAAATTAAGGCATAGATAGATGTAGGCCACATTAGTATCTCCTGAAGAAGCAGAGTGAAAAATTAATTATATGGGCTATTTTGCGAATTCTATCATTGAGTTACCTACACCTGGAGATAAATCTTAATGGCTTTAATATTAAATTCACGTCTATCATTACATAGCAATAAAGAGTAGTTAATTTTGTTCATGTTCTATCAATCACAGAGTTGGGTGACGGATGTTTAATTAATTAATACTCTGTTTACAAAAGGCGTTGCTAAATGTAACATACGACTGGAATCGAAATGTAAATCTTTCTCGTTTTCGTACATTAGCAACTTTTTTATTGCCAGGAAGCATTCTAATATCCATTACTGCGTTTGATTCACGTAGCAAATAATTCGAACAGTAAAACGTTGGAAAAGCTGAATTATTTTAACAGTCTCTTCCTGCAACCGGGTAAGATACGTAAATAGATATATTCTGCACATAAACTACCTTGAAGCCAACTTTGTAGACAGAAAATCGTACCGTATGCAGCAGGCACATATTAGTATGAATATGAAATGCACGAGAAAGAAGTAATTGTACACTCATCATTAGCAATATCATAGCCATTTAATACTCCCCAGCGAATTGAATTTTGCTAATGAAGCTTGTACAAACTTTTAATGTATTCGCAGCCAGTAAAGATTTTTCTAGAGTGTTCAACATAAATTATAAAAATGCCCATCATACTGTACGTGTACCTACATTTTTTAACGATATCTTCTGGTGTATCTGCTGCCTCTGTCGTGCTTTGATCGGATTTTTCCTCCTGTTTCTCTTCCGTTTTCTCTTCTCCGCTAACAACTAGTGCCATTACGATGAGTAAAAAATAGGAAAACTTCCAGACTGACTTCATTTTCTTTAGTTCAACTATAAACTTCTCGTCAAAGATGGATGATTTTACTTGCTGTACTTGATAAGATCACTTTTGATCAATTAGAGTGTACTGTATACGGTATGACAAATAATTCAATGACAACGTTTCCAATCACTGCGATCAACTTCAATCTAAATTATCTTTAATCAATTGTCATTCAACTAAGATTCAAGGCAATTGAGTGAGTTATTGGTGGTCCTCGCTGCGAACTCGTTCTTTAAATAGCGATCTAGGATAGGTAAACCAATATAAGTTAATTAATTTTTGCGCTAGGCCGCCAGACACAATTGTCGTTAATGTAATTCAATGCAGAGACATCAACGCTGACCACTTGTCGGGTTGTTGGGGCTATGACAAATAGATGCAACTGTGCTCACAGCAGCATCAATGACTATTTATAACAAGCTCCAACTAAAGACAGGTTAAAATTCTATTCAATCGACTACAGAAATATGAATGATGTCCCAGGAAATTTTGTCCCGAAAACGAGGATGTCTAAGTAATCATGATAGTATTCTCAATAGCCATATTTACCATAACAAAGGCCTAGAAAGAAGAATCTTTACTTACAATGTTTACCTACGGACTTGATTATCAAGGACAATAAAAGTTCTCACCAGGAATGATATTGTTATGAAAGTATGAGAACATCCAGATTCAATTATCAATGGAGGATACAACAAAGCAATAGCGATTTCGATAAATAGAAATTACAACTTCCTTCCTATTCTCTAGAACTAAAGTATAGTATAACTACAGAAAATAGTGACACAGTGTTGAAAGTCGCGTAATCCAGGGTAATTTACTAGTTGAAAATAATGCTTAATCTATTATTCGGAGCGCTATATGCCGACTCTTGCACGACAATGCATTACAATTTGCAGCGATGATCTTAGCCAACTGAAACAGTTGGATACATTTTAATACGCGTTAATTTCTGATTGGCCGATAGCGACATTTATAATTTACAATTTAATGGCTATGCTAAAAAAACAATTTGGATAACTCTGTCAAGCTGTCGGTCCACGTTAGAAGAATCAATTCATTAAGGCCCAAAATGATAGCTATAAATCGTAGAGAAAAATGAATATAAATTTGTTATTAGGATGTTATTAATCATCACTAATTGTTATTACATCTGGCAGTACGTAATAAACGACTACAAAAATGCACATTCTCCCCTTGTAATGCACTATAGAGAGGAAATTGGGGAATAACTCTTTTCAATGGGGAACTTTTACCAGTTATAAATGGTAGAGAAAATCAATTACATTTGTTAACTTTTCTTGAATTGTAATAATTTCAGTTGGCAGTAAGAAATGACCAATAACAGTAACTAGAGCGGAATAATAGGCCGTAACAACGTCCATTCCTGTCTTCTATAATGAAGATAATCAATTTGGCAATAGCTACCTTTACTGTCACTACACTTAAAAGAATATTAGACAAATAGTTTAGATGCTAAATTACTGTATCAATGGATCCTCAATGCTACACTGAATATTCTTGTCCGCTGTACCAATTACAGTAGATAAAGAAAATTGGGGCATATTTAAATTAAGATTACGTACATTATCTAAACGTGTCTTTATACGTGCTGCATCTAAGAATTATTGAAGTGTATACTAATTTGCAAAAAAATAATAAAAACATATATGATAGTCTATCTAAGGGATCCTGTTGAGGTATATTCTTGTCTACTGTGTCAATATAATATGAAAATTGGTTTTATCCACTAAGCTAAAGTGAATAGGGAAAAATTTAGTACACTCATCCCCATCCCGTAGTAATTATTCTCAAATACTTATCATTACTAGTCTAGGTTGATGTAAAAATGGACAGAAGTTATCCAGTCCTAGTGAATTTAGACTATATTATAGTGTTTTCATTATTTTTTTTTAACGAACATCTTTTGAAGACGGTCACGCTGAAGCCGTGCGTTTATTGCTAATTGAGAGTGGATTACATGATTAGCTTATAGATAATATATATCCGTACGTACGGAAATAAATGTAATATCGATACAGATAATTATTATAATACCGTAATGATATAAGCTGGAACAATCAATTCTTTCAGCTTGTAATCATAAATAAACTAATTATGCATCGATCGTAATCTCGTAACAATATATAACCAGGTAAGGGATTAGGCATGTTTAGATAGAAAGACAAGGGCATTGTTCATCTCTGGCAAAATATCATTGCTACAATAATTGATTGCTTCATCTAGAGGCAAATTTAAATGTATCATTAATGATTGATGATGTTATTTGCTATTTAATCGTTTTCTTATTTCCCAGTAAAGTACGATAGAGATCATTTATCCTTGACATAAAATAACCTTTGATTCGACACTCACTACTTCACGTGAACAAATAAGCATGTAGTGAGGTATATTTTTATTCATCGTTTTAATAATTTAATTAGTTCGAATTTAATGTAGGGGTTTATTCATATATTGTTGACTTTATAACTGCAGATCTTCCTTAACGATGGATTACTACTGCATAATAACTAATACAATGGATTTTTTGATCGGACATCACTTGGTTTATTGCGCGATATTTCTCACCGATTCAATAACTGGCTATGTTATACATGATCAGCAGAGCATTATAAAAGATCACAAAAGAACCCTTTGCTTATCAGCGTATGAGATATTAACTGAATTCACCATTATTCAACACGTTAAATGTACTTTGATAAATTCTGACAAGTTCATCATGGAAAAATGGCACATAGCATAAGGCAAAAGAATTTGCCTTATTCTTCATGTATCTTTCGATACAGTATTAATTCTGCATATTAATACTGAAAATAATACAAAGAGAAAGTTTCACAATCGGATTTAAAAAATGTTACACGCTGCAATATTAATTATATTACAGTCGTGTCAGGAAAATTATATATTTATAGTTCAGTCTTCTTGGATTTTCTTTTCTTCCTTTTGTTTTTTTTAGATCTAGATTTTGATTTCGATGACTGAGCCTTACTCTTCAGTTTATGGTCTAATTGTTCCTTATTCTGAAAACGGAGTAAGAGAATGTCAGCGAAATTTATCAGTTAATCTAATTAAGTGTGGATATTCATTACCATATATAAACTTTTGTAATTATAACGAAAGTGTACATTTCTGACATAACAGTATGCATAAGTACATCTTATATACGACAAAGGACTACACGCGGCACATGGCACATATTTTGCTGTACTGCAGTTTTACTTATGAATAACTAACTGGATATTACCATTTTCTCACGATCATTTTCTTTCTTGCTATAGGGATTAACATAGTTAGCATCTCTTGGAATAAGTTTCAACTCTTGAGACATCTATTCAAAATTTTCAATAAATAAAGCAGTGAAAATGTGTAATACATTAATAAAATGAGCGGGAGGTTAAACACACTGAATAGAAATCCTTACTAAATTTAGTAATTTCTTGTGTGGACCATGGAATATTGAAACAGAATCATTACAAAATCCGACACTCCAGTGAATGGCATATCTCCATTCTGTTTTCCTATCATATATCTTAAATACATAAGATAAAAGTCCTAAATACTCATAATAACTATGCAAGTAACCGCATCCATTGTTATCACGGAAAATGATACGTAATATAAGATGTCAATCGTTTAAAGAGGCTAAAGCGGTCGGATGCAGAAGTTATAGGAAATACTCCTCGATGTATGATTGCATTTAAATATATCAATAACCAACTATCATGGATGACATATAAAAATATAGCCTTATTTGATGCAAAGTTAAGTATAAGTCTACCAGTAAAGTGGGTGCTACAGTAACTAGAAAAGACTTGAGCGAGCATCAGCTCATTGACTCACCTTATGAGTAATATCTGGTAATCTTAGGGCAATTTCACCGAAAAAGGCAGTATTTTCATATATCTTGGATATAGCTAATCAGATAGAAGTTACTATTACATAAGGCTAGTTAATGCGTTGATATCACTACAAGGAAAGTAACGCAAGATGATCAACATAGCTTAACTAAAAATTTCAATACTACTATAGTACTGTATTGCACGAGTACGTTATTATTTATAACAAAGCTTCTATTTTGGTTCGAAATGAGAAAATGGGCATTTGTAGCTAACCATCACGAATTTTTTCATCTTTAGGGAAAGCCATCTCCGGTATATATCCAGTATCAATAATGACAGCTTTCGATTCAAATAGTACCTATAATAAGGATAGGATACTGCTTTTAGTTGCAAGTCATTTTAGCCTACTTCGTACACGCAATGTTGAGTTATACACAGACTAAATGTATACCATATATATCCATAGCTAGTAAGCTATGGATGACGAAAGTAGAATTGAGCAATGGAGACTACCGTAGTTGCCTTTAAAATTGTTAAATTGATGCCATCACTTTATCCCTTAAAACTAGTAACCATAAGCGCTACTATGTGAACTCAAAAACAGACCTCAAAGATTTTTTGGATCATTGCTTCCGCCATTTTGTATTGCTTGGTGTAGGCCTTGAACTTGCTTATTGCGATTAGAGCATCGGTTTGTTGCCTACGTCTCAATGCGAATAATTTACGATCTGCTAGCCCATTTGTACGACAATAGTACAAGTATGTCAATGGCATTAGAGCAAATACCAAGTTAACGAAAATAACCACGAGAGCGAGCAATAAAATAAAGGAATATTTTAATGTGAGAGTATCTATTCCTTTACACGACTACTGTGTATTTTAATATCAAAAGATGTCAGCATACGCATTCCTCTGTGATTTCGACTACGTGTTGTAGCCTCCAAAATAGGCGTTATAAGCTCATCTACAAGTAACAACTCGCCATTGCTAATTACTGTATTTTTTCTACACGTAACTGCGCGAAATTGTAACAAAATAACAACTTAGTCACACTTATAAAGATACAAGCCAGTAGCTGGGATTCATCCTCTTTGAGCTTGTGATTGTCAAGACGTTGTTGGCTTGGACTAGTGGTCGCATTGGTGGTTGGATCGTCGCTGGTATTTGTGGAAGAATCCTTTAAAGGCCATACCAAAACAGCGAAAGAAAGTATGACAACGATAGCGTAATATCGCACCAACATACTGGATAATTTGGAGGCTACAATCACCAATCGCTCCAAATCAACAAGAATCCACGTCAATAAATCAATCAATGTCCTTATTCTTCAACAGTAACCTCTGCAATCAAACGTTCAAAATGTTCATTGATAATCCCAAAACTACAAATGACAGTGTTCAGTTGTTGCAACAACTACCTTTCCAAATACAGAAGTTATTGTCCAATTTTTGTTCCTTTCTCGACAGTAACCTTTCTCTCTTTCTAACTTTGAATGAATCCTCCATAGTAGCCGTGCCTTCTAGGTGCTTGCTGCCTAGTAATCTACAATTGCACACAGCGAGTTTACCATGGTGACGAGCATTGTACAGTACAGTACAGTATAGTACATGTGGACAATACGGCACTGTCTCGTACAGTACCGTACAGTACATTGTACAAATGTACTGTAATTATTACGGTTGACTGTACTGTACAGTACAGTACTGTATGCAGAACTGTACTGTACAGTACAGTACTGTATGCAGAACTGTACTGTACACCGCTACCGTATATTTGTTCGATTGTAGTACTGTACACTGTACAGACCATCCGCGAGCTAAAGGATCACCTGCTAGCTTGAAATTGCAAATCCAAGGCTGCAGACTTGATGCTCTACATGAATTCATTCGCATCTTGCAAGTTCTAATCTGTCTTTACACTCCATGACTTTTGAAAACGAGTCGAATGCTTAATCTTCTGGCGTATTGAAGGTGTCATCAGAAGGAAGTAAGTGTCATATTACATGCGTAGTACTATGGCACATCGTTGGATGTCCTTATTAACGTACTGTGTTGTTTCATCTTGCAGTCGTGCTAGCCTGCAAGATCATCGCTTGGAAGCTGTTGAAATACTTGTTTCTACCATCCGAAAAACGAGATAGAGATCGAATTCATCTGTTCTACATAGTCGATCGTGTTGTATTGTTGTTGAATCATTAATTAAATAGTGGTCTTGTGGGGTATGGTTGCATTCGATCGAGAAATATGAATCACGGAGTCTTTTATACGTTGAGAAAACACTGGAAAAAATCCACATTTGCTGCTATTGCTGCTCTTTATGGAATACATTTCATGACGCAAAAGCATAGGTATAAATCTTGTGTGTAACTTGTCATACCAACGTTAATGTCAAGCTGGGCTTTACAGACGATCTTTCCGATTAGTTTTACTAAAATAACAGGTATCATCCATTTAAAATTAATGAATGGTACAAAAATTCAATTGGTTGACTATGATACGCGTACTATATCAACTTCAAATGCGTTCTCCCATAGCAGCATTACATTGGACAAAGTACAGTAGTTTCGTAATAAGCTGAAAGTACGAAAACTTTATGAAATTATTATGAGAATGCAATATTGCAGTGGATGTTCTGTATATACACGATACGAACTTTAAATTTAGATACAATCTTACACGCCAGGTCGTTAAACCAACTCGTTCTGTAAGCTGAAACTTCGGAAACTTCATTGGTTTAGTCTAACCTTCAGACATAATCTTGTGTATGTCATCGTTGGACTACTTAGTTCTTAAAGCTGTGATTACTACTTGACAACTTTGCCTTCCAGTTTGTCTAGACGGAGAGCTATTGTAACACTTTGTAACTATCCGTGAAGGCGTGATTAAATATGCTCGAATAATATTCTTGCAAGTTCAATATACATTTTGCAGTGTTGTACACAAAGACAGTAAATCGTATGTCCAGTAGCACAATTTATCAAAGTGTCAGCAGTGATTTTCTATAGAGATAGTCTCTAAATACCGTCGTTGTGCGTTAGCACTTTCTTAATCACTCCCTTTATTATACTTAGAGCTAATATTGTCAGAAGAAGATTATGCCAAGAGGCAGTGGTAAGAAGCACATTTTTATTACAATTACAAAATCCATTTAAATCTTTGTCCTGCGGATTAACTGCAGCAATTTATCACCATTATTAGCAATATGGTAGACAGACTATCAAATCAACGGCAAAGCAGCGTCGAGTTGTGGTATTTTTTAATCCGAAAGCAGGCAGCGGGTATGTTAGCCAATCTGCTAGTATCATCGTAAGATTGTTCTGTCTTACATAAAATGATAATTAATCAATCAATTAATAAATACACGTATGTTATAGCATTTCATAGTATACGTACGGAATACTTAAAAATGTTATTTTTGCATTGCGGTGGGAAAATTTACAGAAAAACTAGAAAATTGTTGAAAGATGACGCCGTACCAATCTTTAACCTTGCTGGGATTGATGTTGTTTATATCGAGGTAATTTATCATTACAACGCAACTTTTAATCTGTGTTTGAATGCGGTAATTAATAATCGCTTCGTCGAATTATTCTACCAAATATTAGCTTGATTATGTTGGTCAAGCCAAAACCTTGGTAAATTATTTAGATGAAACTACCGATACTATAGTAATAGCTGGTGGCAGTGGCACAGTAATGGAGGTACCGTATAAGCAACTTACTAAATCTCATTTTCTATAGATATAACAATGAGTCCATCATAATTATGGCAGCACTGTTAAGTTTTTATTTCGTTTATAACATAGGTAATTACTGGATTACTAACCAAGTACGATGAGGTATATAACTGCTAAAGTCGTATCCATATTTCCTATTAAATTAGATTCTTTTGTCAGCATAACCAAAATCAATTTTTGGGCTTTCGGTATTGCTAAATGATAGGAATCGAAACAGTGTCCGCTACCAATTGGTATTATACCTCTAGGAGATGAAAACACACTATTTGAGAAATTATTACCCGATCGTTGTAAGAATATACCCAAAGCCAGGTTGTGCACTTCGATTAAAAACACATGAAAACGTTCAATGAAAAATAGCCAATTTCAATTTAACCTCAGTGTCTTTACACTAGTGTACACTGAAGTAATTATTCTACAAAAATTTCCTGTTTAACGTATAGAATTATCGGTGAGGCCGCCTTATCTATTGTCAAAAAGGAGAGTAGGATGATTGATGTAATGAAAATTAGCCCTCAAGAATCTGGTAAAACTATATATTCTCTATCATCTGTTAAATGGGGAATTTTTAGAGACATCGCCAGCGATTACGACAGGTTAAATTCTTTCTAGATTATACCACAAAATATTACCGTTTTAAAATTAGCTATTTCTCTTCTGTAGATACTGGTTATTTGGACCTTTAAAGAAACGCATGGCTTATATTCCCCCAGTTTTATTTGTATGTCTGATATGTTTTAGTATTAATTGCGGTCCAATTTGATAATATAATTGAAGGTAACTCATTGAGCTGTCTTAAATATTTCAATCAATAGAATTGGCCTCCAAAGTATAGTATTGATATAGGTTTCGGCGCATCCGATAATCAGAAAAGTTTGAAAAACAACGACATAAAGGATACCATTGATAACAATCCGATGATTAAAGAAATAAACAAAAATATTAAAACATTTAATAGCTTTCAAGTTGAAATCGATGCAAATCAAACCAAAGTAATTCAATAAACTTGAATTTTTCCCTATTTTCTTATTTGATCATTATGTAAGTTGATTATTTATATTTAACAGAATCTTGCTGTTTCTATTTGGCCTGAAATTATCGATAAAAAAGAATTTATCTTAAAGGGGTAAGTTAGAATAGATTTTAAAATTTCATTTTGTACTGATCAAGGTGTTAAATGCGTATGCTTAATAAAAACAGGTGGCAGCAAATAAACCAGAAACATTCGGAAAATAATACTGAAAGTATGTCTTAAGACGTAGCCCTTACCGTAGCTAGCCGTAGATATATCTGATGGTCTTATGGTTCATTCTGATACTTAACTATATTGCAATTAAAATTTTAAATTGTAGAGCTGAAAACATTAACACCCAGCGAAATATTTTTACGACCGTCAAGGAATGTAAGTTTATTCTATAATTTACGAAGTCTCAAGAATGAGGTTACTACATAGTTTAGAAGTAATTATACTCAATTATAGACTTTGTAAATTTGCTTGCAGGACATGTGGTATACCATTGATGGAGAAGATTATGAAGCTTATCCAATACTGATCAAATTATTGCCTAACCATATTCAAATGTATTACCCTAGTTAGAGTTCTACGTTGAGCATTTTCTTACAATTCTTTGTTTTCGTCAATAAGATCTTGACGTTGTAACAAATAAGTAGTGTAAAATTATTCCATGTAACGGTTGACTATTAGCTAGGTGATGCCTACTGTACGACATACGAAGTAAGATATTTTATCTAAATATAGGAATTTTCCATTCAAACAAATGATAAATTTTAATTATGGTTGATATTTAAATTATTCTGCATCTAGCAAAACTTTAATCATTATTGAGATTGATCAACTTTACCTATTTGTTTCATTGGCGGTAAAGATCCACAATACGCTATTGAGTGTAACGGAAATAAGGAGATTACTCGTATTTTGTTCGATGGAGCGTTATGATACATTGTAAAACTTTAATAACTCAAGATCATGATTCAGTAACTTCAAAACCTCAACTCATCTAGCTAGATATTTTTTATGATTGTGCTATGATTCGTGACTGGCAGCTCATCTACGCATTAAATATTTCGTACGAAAATTTTTTCATATTGCTCTTGTATAATTGCAAGATAACTGGGATCATGGTACTTCAAACAGAAGTTTTCAAGCAATATCTTCTCGCTTCGCGATTATAGCAACCTCAATAGAGGCATCGTAATCAAATGCGCGAATGCAAATGTTAATAAAGTATTCACTAACTTTCGTGAATCAATTTGCTGCTTAATATTTATTTATGTATATGTACTTGTCACAAAACAGCTTTGCAAAAAGATAACGTAATGTACGATCAGTAAGTCAATTCCTTGAACCACGTATCAAGGAACGATATCTGCACTATTCAGAAACACTTGCTGTACTAGCAGACTACACAAAGACTTAAACGCCCCGTATTTTACGTTATACACTAAGTTTGAAAATCCACTCTATTACACGATATGCTACATTTATATACTATTCCTCAATAGTTCATGAGTCATAGTTAGTACGATTAACTTTGTAATCATGTACTGAATTAGATATTAAATATAGCTACTGTTCCCTTAAAGCAGACAACAGTATTTACGAACATAGACATCTGGTGACTAATACAGAATAGTCAGATTACGATATGTCCAATCACAGAACATTTCCACGATAATTTACTATCTACCATAAGTAAATTACAATCGCAATGATTCGAACTGTAAGTAGATGATTTGCATTACCTATTACAACCTTTTATTTCAGTATGTGTATAAGTGTCGCTATCATAAAAAGCCAGTGCTATATCAAAACACAGTATATCCAAATTAGAAGTTAACTAAATAAGGATAGGCTAACAGAATTATCCTAACATAGATATTTCTACTCTAATACAGTATATAACACAGTCACAGTACTTAGCAGATATAAAATGTACATTGCACGCTGCACGGGTCTGTTATAAGGGAAATTAAATAATTTGGAAGTACAAAAAAATGTTTTTAGGAAGATATCTTAATGCTCTATCCATTAACATGATACCTGGACGCAATATAGACTTAAAGTAAAGGCAAGACAATAACTGTATAAATGTGCAGCGTATATGCAACAATCTTTTCAAATCAGGAACACTTGTCAAGTTACGGAGTTTTGAAAGGAACTATCAGCGTACACTATATCTAGGTATACTGGCTATACACAACGCCTTGATCTATCGAGTATTCGATCGCTCGTTCCTGGATCTAAAAAAGAAATTTTTATTCGACATTGAATTTGATTATCCATATTTGAACTTTCATTAGCCAAGTACAAGTTTGACTTAATCAGTCCTGATACTTGATAATAATGCCGGATTTATTGCGACTGTAAAGTAATTCTCAATTATAATTATCACTAATAATACTCTTGAGAATAGTTAATCCTTCTTAAGTACATAAATACCTTTTTTTCACTTAGTTAAACTGTAAAATACGCTTCTAAGTTAACATAAGAACCAACCAGAACCTAAGGCATTAAAATGTAAGGCTTCCACAGCGCATACTAAAGTATAAATGAGTACTACTTAATTTCGTGGAATTTTTTAGCGAAATTTTACCTTTGTTACGGTCACGTTAGCATTACAATGTGATAGCATATTTTAGCATTGGTTAATCTCGAAATCACAACGTTTTTACCATGTTATTCGAGTTTTAATAAATACTATGTTTTTATTCTTTACTCCCCAATACATAAAACTTTTACCATTGGTATGTTATCTTACAGTTTATGCCTAGGCTTATAGAAACTGAGTATCCAAACGGCCGAAAATTAGAATAGTATCATAAAACGTTGGTAACGGCATTTCGTTGCACAGGTCATGGTTTCTTTCTCTGTAAAGCAACTTTAATTTCTACCCTAGAATTCGAATTATGTTCATTTACTCTTACAATGTGATACTAAGTAAGTGCACGAAATTTCCAAATGCTAGAATTACTTTATAATCAATGATTACAGCTACAGTTTTAGTTGAAATACGTATTTAATTCAATTACTCACTTGCTAACATTAATTTCCACTCTCAAATTTGTAATACTATGTTACATGGTGAATATACTATGATACTAAAATAGTGTTATGAAATGTTTATAACGGCTTTGCCCTTATAACGATTTTAATCTGCTGACCTACTGAAGTTAGTTTTCTTTCTGGAATTTGTACCGTAATATTAAATTTTTACTATACGTGATATTAAAAAGAAGGCACGAAATCTTACATAGCAGAATTTACTTTGACATTTATTTAATTTCCACTCTGGAATTCGCAATGCCATAATACGTCGCAAATATACCTGCGAATTTGTGACAGTAAAATATGAGCGCGAAATGATATCGAATAGTTAACTCTTAATTTAAATCGGTATGCTCATTACTAGTCCTACATTCCGAGTGTTTTATTTAGAAATAATCAATTCCCAGTTAGCTTAAACTTTGAATTAAAATAATAACCGTAGAAACCCCAATAAAGCTAAGGGATCGCGAATGATAATTAAGCATTACAGAGTTAACGACTATGATAAAATTTAAGTATTTATCATTTCTTTATAGCAGCAATTTCTCGTTAATTTTTTTAAGAAAAAGTAGCTACACAGTAAGTTAGAGCAGACATTCAATAATCTTGCCATTCCGGTACCTCATTTGCTTCATGAACTAGCTAAAATCATTTCTTATGATCATATAATTCAACTAAATGATATTACACGATAAAAATCCATAAAAATTCTCCCAGAATGAAATATTTATTTAAATAATTTGTATAATTTTAAAACTCAGCCGAATAAAATTTTTTTTACTAGTCTTTCTTAATCTCATTTAATTAAAGATAACTTCGTCACACAAGAATCAATCATTCGTAATAATTTCATATCTTACAATATAATTTCGTAACATTTCTTATCACATTTGCAATTATTCTAGCGTATATTAGTACTATAGCGGAATCACTTCAACCCCAGTATAAATTATAAAGATTATCCAATGTTTAACTTTGATATAAATCCAAGGATGATCTAGACATTGATTACATAGACCATTGTTGATTAAAAGATGACAGATGTTCATATACTGATATACCCCAATTAAAATTTAGAACTAATTAAGATTGCAAAGACAAAGGTATGTTCTGTCATAACAAGGTCTAAAATATCAATAAGACAAGCACTATTGATGCATATCATTTCGGGCGGAAGAAGTCAATATTCCATTATGACAGGAATATAAGCAACAGACATAAAGAATTATATTTCGATATCATGTTAATACTATACAATAACATGAAAGTAATTATGATCTTAAGTTGATGATTTATTATTGGATGGAAGTCATGATCTAAATGTATTAACATGTTTTGGAAGTGTAATCACCAGTATCTCATTTTTAGACTATTAGCAATAACTCAATACTGTACATTCAATATACTGGCATTTACTACAACTATTTGCATTATCAAAAGATGACGAAACATGCGTTGATGGCATGGTCATGCAGTAGTTTTATCACGTAAGAAGCATATACCGATAAGATATGAAAACTATTTCAATTGCATAAAGTCTGGTAATCACAATAACAACATGGTCTTATAGTACGTAACATTGCAGTAAAGCATAAATTAATTAATTGCTACTAGATATGTTCAATTAATGCTTGATATTACTGACTTACAATCGTTTAAGTGAACATCATACGTAATGAATAGAAACAACATCATTGACGATATTTATCTAGAATTTCATTACTAAGGCACTATGCGTGCATAAGGCTTAATTAAATGTATTTGAGAATTTTAGAGGGAATCAACATTGCAAATTGTAACAATAGGCATGAAATGGAATGATGAAAGGGCTAAAAATAATTCTACAATCGGTAAAATCTGAATAAAATGATCGATAATTAGCACTGTAGAAGTTGCGTCATTTGGTGATTCAAAAATTTCTGTAATCAATTAGATCAAATTAGTAACTTTAGTTTTGAGATATTCTACAGTTCTTATTATTCTTAGAATTATAACTTTAACGTTATCCATCAAAAAAAAAGGCACCGATTAATACTATACAAGATATAATGTAAGAAATAAATCATTTCATTTGTAATTACGGTAAAATATTAAGCTAATTATCTCTATTTCAAAAGTGCTTGTATGACCTGAAGAAAATTCAGTAAGGAAATAGTATCGTGTTACTGAAACATTTAATTCAAATTTCTGATATAACTAGAGTCTGACTTTTATCATCTATACAGAATAGGAATTAGTTCGGTATAAGCTGAAAACATAACTCCATAGAATCTTGCAGACCATTTCAATTTTTAACATGGCGCTTCATCATTTCGTACCGCAATCAATTAAATTCATATATATTGATATATAACTAGCCTATAATTTTGATTTAGCACTGGGTATACAGTAATTTAGAAACCAGTAAGATTATCATATGTAGCTTTAATCTTAGCAGAAAGCGAGTAATTATCACTACGTGCTGTACCAGGAATTTTTGAAATTTACTTCATTATTTTCGCTACATTACCGACTTTGTCTGCTAACAGCACACAAAAATATGGATGGAGAAACTTCAGGCGAGATAATAAGATCATTATGCAGTGTAATCTTTTTGAAACCGTAAAATTTATAGCCAAGCAATTCCCATGAGTTTCTAATTATTGAGATAAAATGTAATATAAAAGGAAGAATCTTAACATATCAACTTTAAAGGGATCTCAAGGTAAACATACTCATGGAGGCATAATGTAATCGATCAATTATCCGGTGGTAGAAGAGAGTAAAATGATTTATAATCATTACAACGTCGTATGTACTATAATTATGCGAAGTCTTACTATATTTATTAATTTTGCTATAATTTAAATTAGAAATATTCCTTAATCAATATAGAGAGAGTAATGATGGAATAAATTTAAGCACTCATCCATTTTAACAAGATGACATTAAAAAAGTAAATAGAAGAAAATTCTTAAATTTCTGAAAATATCGTACGGTAAAATTAAATCACTAATAGTTGCTACTAATTTGCTTGAAAGTCTAAAATCAATAAATGCTAGGAGCACTATACAATTGTTATAATAATTGCTAGCATTTGGGTAATTTTCTACGTTAGTAAGACCTGTTCCATAATTTTAGTTACTATAGCCCGGAACTAATCAATCCAAC